AGCCACATATTTCTCCAGCAAATGGGTTAATTCTGGAACAACAATGAATTGCAGTCCAGAACATGCAACCATGGCAGGCCATGTGCAAATCCACTAAAACAAAAGAGAGGAAACTTTTATGGGGAGAGGAAGAAGTTGGGAGGGCTATTACAAAGGGTTCTCCCTACCCTATCCAGTTTGGCTCAGTGGATAGAGTGTAGGCCTGTGGACTGAAGGTCCAGGGTTCTATTCCCATTGGAGCATCTTATATAAAAACTGTTGTTTGAAATTTTAACCCTGCTATTTGGGCTTCTGTAAATGCTTGCTTACTTAAATAATAAGGAAAATAAGATTACTCCCATTTCTGAGGCCATTTAACCTTCCCCAGACGAAGTTATCAGTGCTGGCACCAGGCCAAGCCTTTGGTTGAGGTCTCAAAGCCCCAGGACATAGGGGCTCTTTAAGAACTTGCAAAGGGGACCAGAAAACCCCATATTTGGGAGACAAAGAGGGTATAAAGGTATAAATACAGGAAACTTCCTGCATGACTTTGCCCAGAATTCTAGAGCATTTTTCTCTGGGCCTGAGCGTAATAACAATAAATGTAACTCCATCTCTCTAAGTGTTGCTTGGTTCTTCTCTGATCTTCTGTAACACCATCAAGGACATGTACTTTGGTTGCAAGCTTGATCCCTGGCCCTGGTTGGGGCACTTATGGGAGGCAACCAATCAATGAGTCCCTCTCACATTGATGTTTCTCTCTCTGTTCTCCCCTCTCTTCCACTCTCTTTAAAAAATCAATGGAAAAAATATTCTTAGTTGAGGTTTAACAAAAAATAAATAAAAAATAGAGTTCTCCCTGTTGTGCTTGGCAATGATGGTGGGGCATGAGAGCTCCCCCTTTTGGCCTCCTTACTTTATTTTAAATGTGGTTTTTGTTTGCTTTTTTTTTTTCTCAACTATTCTCTAAAGAATCCCCAATAAATGGATAGTTTCCTGTTTATGGATCTATGATTATTGAGGGGAAAAAATGGTTCTAAGAGTTAATTTCTCAAAGATTGATGTTTATAGGATGAGAACTAATTTAAAAGACCTGCCTGGTAGCATACTAGTATCGGCTAGAATTAAGGAGCCACTCTTTTCAGTCTTGGCACTAGCTAGTTAGTTGCCCTGGAAGGAGAGGATTTGTGAGTATGCTTGTTCATTTGGGGATGGGGACTGGGAGTTCCAAAGACTTTTGTACATACTGACCTTGCAGAGCAGAGCAATTTTCAGTCGCTTTTCTTGTAGATAACACTGTTTCCCTTGTGTGCCATGGAACAGATATTAATAGAGCATGCAAATGCATGGCGTAAGGCTAATGAATATGAAACTGAACAATAATATATCCCTCTGATGGATGAGGTTTCTGAACAATAGACATTATATGCACATTTGATGAAAAAATGTAAGAGTCACACAGCATTGTAGTCCAGCCTTCTCCAACAGAGGGGACTGAATCACAGAAAGACGGCAAGTGATGTGGTAATTAGAGTGAACCCGGGTTTACTGTCTCCTCACCCAGTGTACTTCCTGCTCAATACAAAGTTCAGTTTATGGACGACCTAGCCATTTGGGTATATGTTTAAAAATAATATTACAGTCAAATAAAATAATATTAAATCTAAATATTAGGTATTCAATGAAGCAGAGCCCCCTGATCCTCCCATGGGCATTCCTCCAGGATATTTTGAGGTATATTGCTAAAAAAGAGGGAGACTTCCAAATATCTAAACTTCTGTTCAAGGGAAGGAATTCAAGTGCATAACAAAGTTATCTATTTGTTATAGGTTTAAGGGAACCTAGTAAATACTTTGAAAACAATGTGTCTTATCTGAATAGATGAAAATGAAAGATGACAATGAAAGAGGTGGGAATCAGAATGCAGAAAACGTTAGCATTTTTCCAATGTTCCAAAACATATATAGCTTTATTCAGTTGTAAGGTAAGCAGAACATAGAATTTACCAGAAAAAAAGTAAACAAGTCTGGTGATGTCAGCTTTTCATGCTCCAGCTATTAATAAATCAAAGAGAATTAAAGGGAAGTAATTCTCCTTTAAAGGATATATTTTCTTATGAAAACTGGAAAAAAAATTATGTGGCACTTCAAAAACACTAAACTATGTAAGAAACTACAGTGAAACTATACTGCTTTTTTTAAAATATGTTTTTATTGATTTCAGAGAGGAAGGGCGAGGGAGAGAGAGATAGAAACATCAATGATGAGAGTATCATTGATAGGCTGCCTCCTGCACGCTGCCTACTGGGGTGAAGCCCACAACCCCGGGAGCGTGTGACCTGACTGGGAATCCAACCTTGACTTCCTGGTCCATGGTTCCATGCTCAATCGCTGAGCCACACCGCCAGGCTATACTGTTTTTTAAAATCTATAGATATGCTCACTTTATCTTCCTGGAATTAGAATTTTATTACAGATTTATTTAATTTTATCTGATTTTACTTGCATCTTAAAACAGATTTATTTAATTTTATCTGATTTTACTTGCATCTTCAGATAATACAATTTACTTGCATATTTGGCAGAACTACATGCTTCTTCCTGATTTTAACAGAACTTAATCCAACTGTTCATCAAATCATATGTTTCAAGTGTACAATATTATAATACATCATCTGTATATTGCATTGTGTCCTCATCACCCAAAGCGAGAACCCAAGCCACTCCAGGCAAGATTTAAAAAAACACGGCTTTGCGCATGTGCCTGGGCTGCGGAGTACCGGTAACCGCAGGAGATCGCTACTAGCTGGGGCTACTGCCTTGTTACGTCAGCGAGACCTGCAAAGTTCCTTGCCAGCTCTTGGCTGATTTCTGGGAGCTGATTATTAAAAGGGTGAAGGTGCAGTTATTGAGCAGCTGTATTTTCTTTTCTTTGCTATTTTCACTCTTTATGGTAAAGTCCCCAAGTAAAGGATAGCGAGTCAGGCGCTTGAAGACATTAGCGGTGGAGGGGTGAGTCAGCGGGTGCGACAGGACAGGGAATTGGCTCCTGGAAGAGCCGGTGCCCTCTCCCCTAGAGAGGAGGCGGCAGGGCTGCTCCTGGGACAGGGATCCCGGCAGCTCCGGCAGCGCCGGAGGTGGCTCCGCGTGGGGGCTCCAGGTGAGTGAGGGAGGGAGCGGGGCGCGAGCGTCCGGCTGGGCGGGTGGGTGAAGGCAAATGGCCTGGCCCCCGCCTGAGCGGATCCCCCACTTTCCCAAGTGCCTTTGGCATTTTCCACCTGCTCTGACCTGTATCCCCACCCCACCCTGTTTTCCTTCTATAGTCTGGGAAGTTATCTCTTAGTTAATAAGTGTGTTTTAAACCTCGTATTTAGTACCCCGAGGTGTGTATGCGGGGAAAGGGTTTTTGCTATTGCTTGTTTTTATTGCCACCTGTGAGCTCTTGAACTTGTGATTTCACAGTAGCCTGTGTCTGGGGTCCTGCCTCAGCGACCAATCCCAGAATTCTTAGAAGCCAAGATGGGTCCCCACTCCTCTCGCTCCTGCCTGGTTCCTGCGGTCGGCTTGCAGCTGTGGGAACCTAGGTTTCCTGCACTGCCCCTGCCCCTCCCCCAACCCGCCCAGAATATCCAGGACATCCTCTGTCCACTGGTGTGCGGGCTGGATTTTCACGCCTAAACCTTCGCAGTGACTGCCACTTGCAAAGCCTCTTCGGCAGACTGAAGCTCCCCCTGTCCCCTCAAACCTCCCCACTGGACCCCAGCAGCCCACCTGGGTGTGGCTCAAGGCTCGAGTCCTCTGGGACCTCCGACCCTATGGATTGGAAAGGAATCCTGGACTGACCTCGGTCGCGTTCAGCCCTGGGGACCCATCCGGCTTTGCTCGGGACCTGACTCTCAGGCCGACTCGGCTGGTGGACAAATCCACGCGCTCCGCACGCCCAAGTGTGAATTCCTCCGGCACGAGCGTGCGCGCGGCACTGCGGTCCCCAGGACGCGGCGGTCCCTCTCCCGGCCCGCCCCTCCAGGTGGCTGCGAAGCGACCTGTTCAGATGGCAGCCGGGTAGATCCTCTGTTCCACTCGCTCAGTTTGGTGAGACACACGCGCCAGCTGCAGTGGCGCCTCGCGGGCTTCGGGGATTTTAATTTCGCCGTCATCCGGCCGCCAGGAGCTGCAGTTTGGGATTTATTTGCTTCGGATTTGAACCCTGCGGTCGCGCGGAGGAGCGCGCCAGGGCGGGCTCCCAGCGGCCGGGGCACTGCGCGGAGCCCCTCCCGCGGGCCCTCTGTTGCCGCAGGGCCAGCCGCTCTGGTACCGCAGAGTCAGCCGGGCTCCCCGCCGGGTCCTCCTCGTGGAGCCCCGCACGACCTCGATCCCCCGTGACCTCGACTCCCGTGCGCCTGGCTGACACCCCGCCTTTCTCTTCGCGCTCTTTCAGGAAGACGCCGGCTGATGACCCTGGGTCTTGGTGAACAGTTCGCATCCACATCCCCCGCCCGCGCGCCTAGAAGCTGGATCTACGGCGGGCCAGCCACACAGTGGGTAACTGCGGGCGGCAGCGGGGTCCAGATGTCAAAGGTCCCCACCTTTAAGAGTCGACGGCAGGCCGCTACTTGCTGGTGGGTTGCGGGGGAGACTGGCGCTGGATTTGAGAATCCCAACTGATGTGCAGAATGCTGAATCTTCTCATCAGGACGCATCAGACAGAGCGGAATAGAGGACACGCATAATCCCGGGGCGGCATTTTGCAACTTGTCTCCTCGAGCGTGGCGCCAAGCCTCCTGTAGGTAGGGAGTGGGGGTCTGGGTCCAAAGCAGCGGGTGGAGGGCTTCCGCGGACACCCCGCTCGCCCCGCCATGTCGCCTTTCATGCCCTGCCCCTTGGCGTGGCCTTCCGAGAGTTTCCAGGGCTGGCAGGGGTTGCTTCCCATCGGCGCACTCTCTGTCACCCCCGGCCAACCCCAGCGGGCAAGGCTCCCCCAAGCCCAGACTTTTTGACTCCCTGCTCCCTCGATCCCGCCTCCGCCCCCGCCCCCGCCCGGGGGTGGCCGTGGAGAGCCGGACCTCGCCCGGCCGGCTGGCTAGGACCATGGTGTTTCTCTCTGGAAATGCCTCAGACAGCTCCAACTGCACTCACCCGCCGGCTCCGGTGAACATTTCCAAGGCCATTCTGCTCGGGGTGATCTTAGGGAGCCTCATCATTTTCGGGGTCCTGGGGAACATACTCGTGATCCTCTCCGTGGCCTGCCACCGGCACCTGCACTCGGTCACGCACTACTACATCGTCAACCTGGCGGTGGCCGACCTTCTGCTCACGTCCACTGTGCTGCCCTTCTCCGCTATCTTCGAGATCCTGGGCTACTGGGCCTTCGGCAGAGTCTTCTGCAGCATCTGGGCGGCGGTGGACGTCCTGTGCTGCACCGCGTCCATCCTGGGGCTCTGCATCATCTCCATTGACCGCTACATTGGCGTGAGCTACCCGCTGCGCTACCCCACCATCGTCACCCAGAAGAGGGGACTCCTGGCTCTGCTCTGCGTCTGGGCGCTGTCCCTCGTCATCTCCGTGGGGCCTCTGTTCGGCTGGAGGCAGCCGGCCCCGGAGGACGAGACCATCTGCCAGATCACCGAGGAGCCCGGCTACGTGCTCTTCTCGGCGCTGGGTTCCTTCTACGTGCCGCTCGCCATCATCCTGGTCATGTACTGCCGGGTCTACGTGGTGGCCCGGAGGGAGAGCCGGGGCCTCAAGGCGGGCCTCAAGACAGACAAGTCGGACTCGGAGCAGGTGACGCTCCGCATCCATCGGAAAAATGCCCCGGTAGGAGGCAGGGGGATGCCCAGCGCCAGGAACAAAGCGCACTTCTCTGTGAGACTCCTCAAGTTTTCTCGGGAGAAGAAAGCCGCCAAAACACTGGGGATCGTGGTCGGCTGCTTCGTCCTCTGCTGGCTGCCTTTTTTCTTAGTGATGCCCATAGGTAAGTCTCCACAGCATCTCATCTTAGTATTTAGGGTCTTCACCCCCTTCCTGCTCTGCTACCTCAGCTTCACGGTGGGTTGGCCCAGAAAGGATCTGCATTTCAAACAGCAAAGCCAGGAGGGCAGTTTGGGAAGGCTTCCTCCTAGAAAAGTGAATTTCCATTCCCTTTCCACTCCAATCTCATTTATATTATGTCCCAGGGCACTGTTTCAAGTAAGGTGAAGTGGTTTCCAAGTGATGCAGATTAATTGGCCTCTTTAACAAGAACGTCAACTTTTCTCAGTACCTTTAAGCCCTCATTCAAGCTGAGTCTCCACCAGCACTTAGGCAGGGTCTGTGGGATGCTATGTCCACCTCTGCTGCTAAGGACTGCACATTCTCTTCACCTAAACATATGCCCATGCTTATCTTGAACAAATGTGTAATTTTATTCTTAGATTAGGTTATTCCTAAGGGTTCATTATAATGGTCTGCTTTTACTACATATCTGTGTTAATTTTATATTCTGGATTCAGTATGGAAGAAAGTATGGTGAGCCTTTGACAAGGAAAAAAATCATGTCTAAATTAATTTAAGTTCAACATAATGTTTCTAGTAATAAAATACTTTTCCCTTTATTTTAATAGTAAGTATTAAAGCTAGCCTTACTCTTATCCAAAGCATTTGGTAAGTTGCAGAAGACAAAGTTTGAAAATAATACGGTAATGTTACAAATCCAGTTTTTGCAAATGTTAAATTAGCTGTTGTTAAAACTAATTAGCTCATTAGAAGGATCAGCAAGTGGATCCACTTGGAATAGTCATTTATCACTGAAAAGGCCTTCTTGAGATCCCAAAATGGTTGTTTGCTATTTTTAGTTTATGAGCTCAAATGTAGACAGACCTACACATTGGTTACCCACTAACTCTAGCAAACAAAAAATTATGATAACGATTATTAAAAGCCTGTTTCCAGCACTTTAGAGCCAAATTTAAATGGTATGTACTTAAAAGTACTTTATTTGCAATGCTGTAATAATAGCAGCTATAATTTTTTTGAGGTCCACCTCTGTTTTAGACATTTAACAAGGCTTCTTATTGCATTAATCCTTTCAACAATTCATGATGTGAGGTATGTATTGTTATCCTGAAGTTACATTGAGGGGAAGGGATTCTTCAGGTTCTAGAACTTCACTGTCTAATACCATACCCACTGGCCACATGTGACTATTTAATGCAAATTAAAATGAAAGAAAATTAATATTCAGTTCCTCAGTCCCACCAGCCACATTTTAAGTGCTCAGTAGTCACATGTGGCCAGTGGCTATTGTTTTAGGACAGCAGAAATAGAGAATATTTCATCATTGCAGAAATTCCCTTCCAACAGAGGCCCTTCTGAGTCCTCTGCCTCACCTTCCTTTGTGTCTGTCCATTTTTATTTATTACTCTGCTCCTGGAAGTACGTCACAGCTTTGAATTTATTTAAATAACACTCTTTACCTGAGCCTCTGCCAGCTTGCCTACCTTTCTACATCTCATCTCTTACTCCCTCCTGAAGTTTGCGCATTTATTCTTGCTCCATTCATTCAGCAAGTATTTATTGAGCACTTGTTCTAGATGCTTAGAATGAACAAGGAGGAAAAGTCCTTGCCAGTAAGATGCTTGAGTTCTTTTGGGGGAGATAGACAAACAAATAAATATAGGCTAAGAAGGATTACACACCTGAAATTAATATAAAATATTATTGAATATTAACTGTAATTGAAAAATTAAAAAAAACAGAAAGCAAGCAAGAGTAGATATATTAATATCAGACAGATCAGACTTCAGAACAAGGAAAGCCATCAATGGTTTCCAGAGGTTCAAAAGGAAAGAGTGAGGGAATGAGTCGATGGGGCACTGGGGACTCTGAGGGCTGGGACACTATTCTGTATGATAATGTAATATAAATACATGGCATTATTCATTTGTCAAAGCTCACAGAGCTATGAAACATAAAGGGTGAACCCGAATGTAGACTATGGGCTTTTGTTGATAATGATGTGACAATATTGGTTCATCAATTGTAACAAATGCACCCTATTAATGCAAGGTATTAGTAGTAAGGGACACTTTATGGGCGAGTCAAAGGCGTATATGTGAACTCTGTACTCCAAACTGCAATCGGCCTCTCCACCTGCCCCAGTGCCTGTCACCTTCTATTTCAGAGCAGCTAGGGGAAACGGTTTTCTAGAACCCTTGTCCTCCCCTCCCCCAGCCCAACTGGTCTTCCTGGGTTGCTGGGTATCTGTTTACCTTAGTGACAGAACACTTGGAGGGTTCTGAGTGGCCAATTGTGGCCCACAGGACACTGGCACTTGGAGGCAGAGCTGTGAGCCCGACCAGCCACGGAAACCTGCTGTCCGCCACCACATCCACCTTCCAACGGGTCTTGGAGCACCTGTGCAATGCTCTGCTGGAGATTTCTGAGAGCTTGAGATATGTTTGGGATCTCCATGCTTTCCCTGGGAGATCCTGGTTTGTGCTGTGTGTGGGTGTATTTGATAGTAAGAAGATGGCACACTTTAGGAATGTGAGGGCATTAGGCTAAAGGTGTTCTGCCCCAATGAAGTCTGTGGGAGATGTCGTAAGAATATTGAACCAGTGACATGTGCCAAGGACTCCCTCAGCCTGCCTGCGGTGGAGGCCAGGCCTTGTGCTTGTTAGCACTGAACACAGACCTGAGCAGGTTGTCACTTCAGGACAAGGTCGACTCTCTGCAAATGTATGGAGGAGCCAGTCTCCTAAACTTTCCCAGCTGACATGAAAACCCATCTCAAAAACATCAGAAATCCATGGAGAGCAACTTTGGAAGAAAATAAAAAATTATTTAATGAAAACATTCATTTTTCAGAAAGTCCACAACTGCTCCACTAATATGAGGTGGAGTAAGTGAGTATAGGAAAAGGAGCAGAAGAAAGACAGGCTGGAGCCAAACACAGAAACAGAGCAGGTCCTGAAGGATCAAATCAGCCAAGTAATATCAGTGGCTGAAAAACTGCTACAGACCATCCCTTCACCTGAGATCACCTAAGTCACATGAAGTGCCAGGTCAAACAAAACAGGGAAGCAGAAAACTGTGATCACCCCGTCCTTCGGTCGCAAATTGACCTGAAGGGTGTCCCTGATAATGCCGTCTTCAATGTGTCCCCTCAAAGTCCTGAAGAAGAACATCATGAAATAGCCAGGCAATTGTGGGAAGAAAAGCAAGTGAAGGAAGAGCTCTCAGGACAAATAACCAATCTCCAATTTGAGGAAGCATCTTTGCAGCATGAAAATTCAAACCTAAAAAGTTAGACTCATCAGCAGAAGCTGAAGCTCCAAATTCTGCCCGAGGCACATGAAGATCACTTAACACAACTTCAGAAAAAAACCGAGGAGGAAACGAGCTGCTTAGAAATGGAGAAGAAACTTCTCACCGTGTCTGTAGATACGTGCACTCCGCATATCAGATTTGCAGCCTACAGGAAGATGGCAGAAGACCTGGGCAAGGAACTGGAGAGAAGCACTTCCTACCAAGGCAAAGGAGACCGTCTTCCATGCGAAAGGGCTTAAGAAAGCTGGAACACAGCCATTGGGTGGAGAGAAAGCGCATGGAGGTGAGGAAAGAAAATGATCGCAACAAGCGAATGCTGGCCAAGGTTGAGTCCAAGGTCCAGCCTGTCCCAAGTGGCCCTGTTGCTCCTGTTGCTCCACCCACAGCCCACAGAGACCCAGAGGAGTCAGGGGATCCCATGGGTCATTAGGCCCCGCAGGAAGGAGGAGGGAATTACGGTAAGAGCTCAAGAATCCAGGGTCACCTGAGGTTTGCTTCCATTTCCACAGCAGCTGGGTCTTGGACATCCACAACCTCTCAGAACATCTATATTGTTTTCTCTTTAAAGTTATTTTGATGATTCATTTTCTTGTTTAGCTACTGTTATTTAATTGATGCTACAATTCCTCTTATTCAAGTAGATATAACATAATTTTAAGTTAGTATTTAAAAATAACTATTCATTAAAAGATAAAGATAAAGTTCATTAATATTAATTCAGGATTACTATGCACTGTTTAAAATGTCAACAGAATAAGAGGCTAGAGAGTAGCAGGACAATGTGGGGGTTCTCTGGGAGGTCAGGAAAGTCCTCTCTGAAGAGGTGATGTTCTGATTGAAGTGAGGAGCAAGAAGTCTGGAGGAAGAGCTTTCTGGGTAGAGCAAACAGCCAGGGCAGAAATTGGAAAGAACTTGACCTGTTCAAGGCTGAACAGAGAGGCCAGTGTGGCTGAACTACAGAGAATGAGGGGGAAGACAAGTTCAAAAAGAGGATGAAGAGAGAGACAAGGTCAGAGTACTGTGTATTTGTGAGACCAAAGTAGAGTTTGCATTATCATTCTAATTGTGATGGGAAGCCGTTCTATTGGAGGGTCTTTTAGCAGGTGAGTGGCTGGTCTTATGTTTTGAAAAGATCACTCAGGATTCTGGGTGGAGAGTGGACTGTTTTGGGTGAGAGTGGGAGCCAGGAGATCAGTTAGGAGGCTATTGGAGAAGTCAAGGGAAGAAAGGTCTTGATGCCTCCACTCAAACAGGTGGAGGTGGTGAGAAGTGATCACATTCAGTACTCATTTCAAAGGTAGAGCTGACAAGTTTGCACATAGGTACATGAGAAAAATAGAGGTATTAAAGATAGCTTCCAGGTCTGGGGCCTCAATAACTGGGTAAATAGTGCATTTTACTGAGATTGAGAAAACTGAAGACTGACAGGGTTGTGAGCGGCTGGTAGGAGTATGTAGGATGAGTGTTTATCTTGTATAGCCCATGTTGAGAAGGGTCCATTAGACATATAAGTAGAGATGCCCAGTAGGTAATTAGATATATGAATTGTAGCTAAGAGGAGAAGCTGTGCTACTATATAAACCTAGGACACATCAATATATTTAAAGCCACAGAAATGGAAGTATCTATAAGAGAGAAAGTACAAAGAGAAAAGGCAGATAAGGT